GGCTGATCTGGTAGGCCTACCAAGTGGGATTTTTAATTTATTTATTTATTTTTTTATTTTTTTTTAAATTCTTGGTTAAACGACTTCAACCTGTTACTCTATATTTCGGTCATATCGGAGACGGACGTTAAATCGCCTTATAATTACATTTATAAGACTAAGAGCATGGAAACCTGTACACTTTCTTTCCTCTTTACGTTTTTTGGTGTGGATTTGTACGTCCCGCTGCTGCAGTAGTGAGGGAGAAGGCAGGTTTTACGCAAGTTTCTTTGACTTTCATCTAATGTCCTTCATTAACTTTGTTCTAAGTTGGAAGTACAATGTAAACCTAAGAACGTTCATACAGTGTGGTGGTCACATGGGCAAGCGCCTCATAAAATCATTGGCCCTACTTTTATACGGGAAGGCTATTTTGTTATAATGTATACATATGTATAACTTCAGAAACGTATTCAAAGGGAAACAAGTCGTGAATTGCTACTGAACGGTAATCAAGCCTGAATTATCTGCCCTCGGTTTTACGCTTTCAATTAGTTGTTGGCCTTCCTATTAAAGTTAAAGGATTAATAATGGGTTGTTAGTTTTGAATTGTCTTTAATCTTGATTTATATTAATTAAAGGCACAAAAAATTTTGATTTTCAGTCTCCAAGGACTCTCAGGCTATTGAAGTTACCAAACTTTGGCTGCTATTTTCTCGCTAATTTTACCTTTGAAACTAGGCGACTCTGACTTCCTTCAATCGCAAATATCTCTACTTCTATATAAGATAGATGGGTATTTTTTTCATCAAAAGAAAAGCAAATGAACTGGCTTTAAGATGATACCAATAACCCCCTAGTTACAATGAGTCGAGGTGTCTGGCTACAGGTGGAAGTTGCTTACTTTTTTTGTTGAAGAATGTTGAACTGTTTTTTCATCTCTCACTCATTTTTTTTGTCTTTTCATGTTCGGAGGACTTGAGCATCCATTAATTGATTTCTGATTTTACAGGAAATGTTATGACCACAGAACCCCATTGTTCAGTTACTGGGTTTTTTGTGGGGGTTTTTCTATTAAAAAAATTTTTTTTTTTACTGTTTCAAATCCCCAATTGCAATTGTCATGCCTTCTTGCATCTTTCTTTTGACAATTTCATCATTGTTGGATCACATGAGGGATAAAGTTCTAAAAGTTGCAGTGTTCTGAGCTGGCAACAAAGATCTTGTCCAGGTTTTAGAGACACTGTAGTGGGGACCACTTTTAACTGAACACGGTGAATCCAAAAACAGCGAAAAATGAAAAAAAAGTGGAAATCCCTCCCCCGCCCCAATTTTGAGAATTTTTTTTTTTTCAATGTTTGAGCAATTTCTGTAAACCAAAACCATGGCTAAACTTAGGAAAATTGTTTCGGTCGTGCAGATTTTGGTTTTAGCAAAATCCATGGTATATGAAATCTTTCATGGTTTACCAGTACGTAGTTCCACCCCAGTTGAAACTTTCACATTGTGCTTGAAGGCTTGGCAAAAACTGGCCTATAACACCACCTCGCGTATGATTTACAGGGGATATACTTTCACAACAAATTAGCCCCTTTTTGTAAGTCACACATATAATACGTGGGGGGGTTTGGACATACTAGAGGGGCCTCAACATGCGGGGAATCAAGTTCTAGTCAACTTAAAGCCAGCCTATTGCACCCCTCTCTCTTCCTCTTCGGACTGTCCCCGATAACTTAAAATGTCGGTAGTAGAAGGTAAGACCAACCACCAGTAATCAAATGTTCAGAATGTTGGTAATTGTTGAATGGAAAGTAGGCCTACTATTTGGGATTACGACTACTCTCTCTTTGTTGGGCCCCATCCTGTTTGTATACCGGCTGTATAATAATATATATGAATATTTTGAGCCTTCATTATTTTTTTTAATGGCTTGTATTATAAGCGAGTGTATATGGTAGTGTCTTTGTGTTAGTCATGTAGTGAGTTAAAAGATTCTGTGTCCAGTTTGGGTGCCACAGATTTTCCTGTTACAATTTACATGTATATATTGTATATTTACTGAATTGTGGAGTCATGACACAATGCTGATCTTTAGCTTTTTTGGCGAAAAATTGTGTTGCCGTTTTGTGTATGTGGATGAGAAGTAACCACACTGGTAATTGTTGTTACACACAGATGCACACACATGCGTATATACACACACACACACACACACGCACACACACAACTGCACCGCACCGACATTTGTTTCTGTTGCTGGTTATATATATCTCCGTGTTGACTTGTCTGACTGTGATTTCATTCGCTTGCCAAGTTTTGGTTTTGTTTTTTTCTTTTTTAACACGCTCATCAAAACAGACGCGTGGGAGATTATGAAATACGAAATATGGACGGAGCCATTTCAGAGAACGTTCTATCTCGACA